GGGAGGTTTGGGGGGGGGTTTGGATTTGACCCGGCCTTTTAAAAAAAAAAAAAAAAAAAAAAAGGTCAAAAAGAAAACATTTAATTCCCCTTTTTCTTTCTCATTCTTCTCCTTAAACTGTTGATGTTATGTAAAAGTACTCTCTTATCTTCCTAACTTCTCTGGAGTAGTAAACACACAGAAGAAAAGTACAATATTTTAAAATTAATATCTCTATATTCATGAACATCGGCATTAAAAATTGTCATATGTTTACTGAGATCTTAATTACTGATGACATATCTTCTTTTTTTTTTTTAATAGAAAGTTCATGAATCCTAAGTTACGAACTCCATGTGTTGAATTGGACCAAGCTGATATGGTACGACATGACTCGTAGATCATAATAATGTGTGTTTGTATTCTCTATAATATTCCACGGAGCTTCTTAGGGTCCGTTTATTTCATGTGTTCAAATTTATGGGTGTTTTTTCTTATAAAAAATTAAATTTCAAATGTTAAAAATAAAAATTACTAATTTAAACGCATAAATCAAACGATACTGTGCTTACAGACTTGTTACATTCTTTACAAATTTCCATAAACTATAATCTCTCTCATATAATTAGGTTAACGATATAATTTATGTTTAAAACTGCATGGTCCTAAACCAGCGACTTAAACCCACTGATGAACCCAAGTAACCACAAGAGGAGAAGTGACCCAATGTTTGCCATCTGTCCACGTAAGCATTCCAAACTCACTAACAATTTCATCTGACCATCCACGCGGACTAGTGTTGTCAGCCAAAATCGTAACCACGTAACTTTCTGTGTCACCCTTCTTACCAAACTCAAATCTTCTCAAGACTAATGAAAACGACAGTGTCCCCAGGGTTGGTGATTTTTACGGTGTAGGTGGCCGCACCATCACTAACGTGCGTCACAGTTCTAGGGACCGAAATCTCAACTAATTTGGACGGCCTTGATGCGTTGATCCGAACCGCGATCGCCGGGTAGTTGAGCTCCCAAGGGTACATTTTTTCTGTTTCGTCACAGTTCACTACCCTGGTCGTGATTACCTTAACCTGGTCGCTACTGTAATCGCTGCCGCAGAGGAATCTGATGTAATCATCCTCCGTTAGATCATAAACTAAGCCAGGATCAGCGGCTCTCACTGGGTCCACGTGTCCAGCAGCCATGTCCCACGTCGTAGCCAATATATTATTGACCTGTTCTTTTATCAACTTAGATCGCGATCGTGTGTATGGGCCGTGGTCATCATCGACGACTTGATTATAGCCGGGGTCCACTCAGGGTGGGTCCCTTTCAGCAACGCCTCGACGCCGTTCCCGGACTTATGTTAAACTCGGTGCGCCGTGTATCATTGGATAGACGACTCGGCGAGATCTCGGCTGGCCAGGCCGCTAGGATGTCGACACCTGGCGCAATCAAATCAGAGACACGCTCCACGGGAGGAAAAGTAAGAGACGACAGGTGCCGGTTTGACCCCAAATTGGGTCCCGCGGAAGCGCATAGCGGCGCGTGGGTTTTCGGAGGATGTTAGATATTCAAGAAGAGTGGCACGTGCGGAATTGGTTATGGAAATCCCGGGTGTAAGATAGGCTTGGCCGTTAAAGCCTCTCCTCGTGATGCCACGTTGGTCGTAATAACTCCAACTCCACCAGCCTCTTTCACCACAATTCCTTTGTGGGAACCTTGATACATTTCCTTCACGAGCTCGGGATCGAGAGTCTCCGGCAGGCAAGTACCCATCGAACCGTGCTTGGTTGCATTTCCCGCGTAAATCAACGGAAAGTACTCACCCGCGGAGAAGTGTTTACCGTCGTAGAGCGACGATCCGGTGATGACGCGTCCATCTCCGAGCACTATATCCGCCGGGAACGTCCTATCGAGTGTGCTTGCACCGACTGTTGTTATCCATGGTGCGGCGTTGGAAACCGGTTTCTTGTACGTGCCAGAATTCCCAGCCGCGGCTGAGAACACGACACCTTTTCGAATAACCCCAAATGCACCGATCGCAATCGGGTCGATATCGTATGGGAGTGGGACTGGAAAGGGCAGACCGAGAGAGATCGATATCCCGTCGATGCCGTCGTCAACGGCGGCGTCTATGCAGGCTAAAATGTCGGAATCGTAGCAGCCTTCCTGATCATCGCAGCAGATCTTGTAGATGGCGAGCCTTGCCTTCGGCACGATGCCGGAGGAGGCGCCGTAAGCATAGCCGAGAAAAGAGGCGTTCTCAACTCGTCGTCCGGCGGCGAGCGAGGCTGTGTGGGTGCCATGACCGAAAGCGTCTCTCGCCGTCTGCTTCCCCGTGTGCTGTTTGCCGAAACGCGCCTCATGGCCGCCGTCGAAGAATCTCGCTCCGATGAGCTTCTTGTTGCAAAGTGTGTCGGGGAAGGACTCCCCTCCGTCGCACTTGCCTTTCCACCTGGACGGGATTGGCCTCATGCCCTCGTCATTGAAACTACGTCGTTCCGGCCACACCCCGGAGTCCATATGTCCGGTAATGACGTTCGAACCCCAGTCTGTCTCATTAAGTCATTATTACTCATTGCCATATTGCTTGTGGTGTCAAGTCTGAGAAAGCCAGGTGATCGTGTGGTGTAGAATTGTCGAACCCGATCGGGAAATATGCCAAGTATTTCAGGCCGTTGATTAAGCTCTTAGGCTTGTTCGCCGCTGAGCTTAGCAGAGAAGCCTTGAAAGACGGTATTATAGACGTGTACCATCATGTTATCGTCGTAATTTGGGGCACGTAGAGTACTGAGGCTTCTGAGAGTTGAGCTATACCAGTCTACGACATTGGAGTACTCCGATGGTTTTAGGCTGTTTTGGAGTCGGATAATGAAAGTCTGGGTGACATTGGTTTGACTGGAAACAAGCGAGAATGGCAAGATAATCAGAAAGTAAAGGAGAGCTGAAAACAGACTCATTTTGGAGGGGTTACAAGAGAAAAGTACGTAGAACATGTGTGTGTGTTGATTATGATTTACAGCTAACTAGGTGTCGTATTCATAATGGGAAAAATAGGATTAAGATTAATATTCTTTCATCGTAAGGGACAAAATGTGTTAATGAGGTCCGAAAAGAGGTTGATCAGCAAAGACATGGACATTAATTTCGTGCATATATGTAGCTGCAGGACAAGGGAAAGTAGATTAAACTTGCTAACTCATACCGTTCATACATATTGCAAAGATCGGAATGGTTGATATCCATTCTAGGGTGTAGTTATTTATGTCCTTAATCAATTGTTTCTTCCTTTAAGCCAAAAACAAAAATAAAAAATAAAAAAAAAGTGTTGTTTTAATATATTATTAGTGTGAACGTGGATCATATGAGATGAGATTCTTTTTCTCTTGTATTAACATGAGGTTTTGGTGAATTGGGAGTAAGACAGAGCTTAATTGGTAATTGGAGATCAATCTTAAATTGGGACGAAGATCATTGAGTGGGGTTTGGTGGGTACGTGAGTGAAGAGTGCATGTGGCATGCATTCACATGTGACATGACGTCGGTTTTCTATAAATATATAGTGAGTGCTATATTTAATTAACTAGGAAAAACTCCTTGAGCTACTTTGCTTTTCATGTTACACTTTTGGGTTCATGAGTTGGGAATGCTGGGGTTTATGCGTCCTTAATTAATTAGGCGCAAAAGCTCACTGCAACGACAAGGAAATTGTGTTTGGTGAATCGTTTTTTTTTGTTTTTGTTTTTGTTGTTTTTTTTGTTTTTTTGTTTTTTACTTGATGCGGGGAGCTAATCTTCTCAGTTTTTCACTTCATGTTAACATATATTCCAATAATATGTTCAACATTAACAAGTTCACATAACTGAGCAAATGGACTTTGTCATCCCGTAGGCTTTATTAGTGAGTAAATAGTGAAACAATCACTATGTGAACTCATGGATTTTGTTGATGATGCGCATGGCATCATGGAAAATTACTCGAAAAAAATTTCCATTTGTGCCAATTTCAAATTTAATATTTAAGTGCAAAAAACACTCTCTAATGCAATGCTATTTACTGTGCTAAATTTCTGATATGCTATACTTTGTGGCAAATTCCTCACCAAGCATAACATATAGGAAATTTGACATTTGATTACTATTGATTGAAATGTCTACTTTTTCCATATAATCAATGCAACTTTTACATTTTCTAATTATTTTAAAATAAAAGTTTACTTTTACAACTTTCAAAGTTTAATAATTATAGTAAAAAATTACATTTCAAATAGCATTATGTATTAGACCAAAAATAAAAATAACATATCATATCAAAGTTTTTGATGCTAAATATACAATTAGTATTAGCATTTGCATTGAAGATGATCTAAGTTCTAAAAAGAACGAAAAATGGATCTTGTTATGATGCCAATATTATACACTTATTCATGGTCTAGAGTAAAAGTTGAAATCATCATTGGAATCATAGAGTATAAATAGATTGCTTTTGCACTTTCCCTTAATATATATGCAATGGTAGAGTGGTAGACAATGGACAAATAATATAGAATCAACAGTGTCATATCTTAATGCCCAATTCTAAATCCAGTTCTTATTATTGTTATTATTATCATCATTAATAATAATAATAATATTATTATTATTATTATCATCATTATTATTATTTGGGATTCATGTGGCTCGGGGCCTGAGACTAGAAGCCACAAACAATGGAGAGAAAAGAAAAGAAAAAAAAAAAAAAACGAAACCGAGAAATTTAACGGTCAAAAAAACAAAAGTGAATAATTTGATTGTCAACGTGTACTCATCCAATTTGACAGAGAAGAGATGTACAGGTCAATGTTTTTTTTTTTTTTTTTTTTTTTTTTTTACTCCTGTGTTTGAAAAAAAACAAAAAGGATTGACTTCGGCCTTCGGGGTCAAAATTCAAATTAAATGGGACTCTTTCATTGACAAGTCTATCAAATGAAAATTACAAATTTACAACTTCAGCATATTTAAAACCAGCTTTGTAATAGAATGTAGTTGGAAATAAGAATATGCTAAAGAGGGAAAAAAGGAGTTAAAAAAATGTCTAATGTTTATTTACCTTAGCTTAAATAAGAATGTACTAAAGAGGGAAATGTCTAATCTTTATGACATGGTAATTATCATAATAATATAAAAATAAATAATACTTTTTACTACTTAAATTTTAATATGTATAAAAAGTCAAAAATGAAAACGTTTTCTTTTTTACTTTCTCATTCACCTGTTTAAACTGTTGCTCATTAGGAAAACAGTAAAAAGTACTCCCTTATTTTTCTAGCTGCTTTTAGTAGTAAACAAATAGAAGAAATCTACAATATTTGAAAATTAATTTCTCACTATATCTTCCATTGACATTACAATTTTTAGTTAATGTATATGTTTTACTAAGATTATAAAATCTATATTAACATTTTTCGTGGAAAGATTATATTAATATTTGACCGATTATATTAATATTTGACCTCTTATATGCTACAACATGACTCGTAATTTACCAACTGCGTATGTTGAATTGGAGTAGACGATTGTTTCATTGAATGCGTTCTGTGGTTTGTAATAACGTACATTCCATGCATGCACATAAATTGCAATTTCTTTTTTTTTTTTTTTTTAAAAAGAGAAAGAAAGAATTATGAAAGTACTTTTAGTACGATGTCGTACGGACGCCAACAAAAAAGGTTTTTAGGTGAAGAAATCAATGTGCGCCCACAGGTCCCACACGTGCGCCGGTTTTGAGAGAAGAGCTGTTTCCGAAACCAGCGGCGCTGCTGCTGCTGGGATTCACAATTTCGAAACCCCACCGTTTCCCCGACACACTCTCCCACCGCGACGACCACTCTTTTGTCCTTTTGCTGATCATTATTTTCCCAAATTAGCCACTAATTTGAGATTAATTCCTTGTTAAACACTGCCATTTCGCCATACTATGACCTCGTTCACTTTGTGGATTCAAGTTTTTAATTCGAGTTAAGATGTAATATTTTTTGAGAACTTTTTACTGTAAAAATTTAAAACTAAAAACTCAAATCGGTGAAATGAACGAGACTTATATTTCTACCCCATCATTCCAAGAAAATTAAAATAAATGATTCGCAAGTATCTAATTGGAAGGATCATTTTAAATTAAAATTTCGTTCGTTTCGTGAATTTGAGTTTTTAATTTAAGTTAAGATGTAATATTTTTTATAATTTTTAATTGTAGAAGAAAAAATAATATGTGATATTTACTAAAAACTTTTAATTGTAAAAATTAAAAACTGAAAACTCGAATTGGTAAAATAAATGAGACATAAATAACAAAATCAATTTTTACATTGCTATTTTTTTTAGAATAGTACTCATTTAGAATAGTAACATTGCTAAATGATTCCCAAGTATCAAATTGGAAGGGATCCTTTTTTTTTAAAGACAAATAACAAGATCAATTTATACATTACTCATTTTTTAAGTAGACTAGAATAGTACTCAACTAGAAATAAATGATTCGCAAGTGATCATTTTTTTTTAAAGATAAGTGACAAGATCATTTTTATTATACAGAAAAATGAAAAATTTACCTTTTAAGAGTGTGAATTTAAATCTTTATTCAATTGATAAATATTCTTTTATTAATATAATTATTTGACTAAAAAAATTAATAAAAAATAAAAAATAAAAATCTTAATCTATGTATTTTTAAAGAATATCTGTTAAGATTACTTAGTCGTGGTAATTTTTTTTTCTTGCTTTTTAGTTATTCCTTTGTGGAAATTTTACTCACGGTATTAATAATAATCATCATCAAAATGACAATTTTTAAAATAGTATAAAAAATAACAAAATTTGATGTTATAAAAGTAACAACTATATAACTATAACATTATTATGAACATCACTATAATTTTAATTATATAATGTTTTTAAGGTCTGTTTATTTCGCTGATTCGAGTTTGTAATTCGAGTTGAGATGTGATTTTATGTGAGAATTTTTTACTGTAGCAAAAAAGTTAGATGTGACTGTTTCTGATAACTTTTTATTGTAGCAAAACTCAAATTCTAAACTCGAATCGGCGAAATGAACAGACCTAAATTTTTCTAATGTAATTATCTCTTATATATAAGAAGCTTTACGGCAATTAGAAGTTGGGAAAAAATGGATTTGGGTGCTCATTATAACAAGAACAAAACAAACATTTTATTTTTTGATAATTAAAAATGGATTTTAGAGAACAAACCAAAGTCGGAAAAGATAAGAAATGCATATACTTACGATTTTAAACACAATTCCACTCTGAGAAGTAAGGTAAACAAAAAGCAGCGATTTTGACAAATTAAACTGCACATTTATTCATTCAATCATCCGTTGCTTAGAACAAGTTTTAAGCACCCAACTAACAAGGAAAAGTTAGAAACCAATGACCTAAAACCATACAAGAGGAAAAACGAAATTAAATAGACACACATAAAAACGACGTCGTAACGTTTACACATCGGACCCCGAGGAACGAACATCGTCGCCGTCGAAGCTCCAGAGCTCCCCAACCTCGCTCTCCTGAGCCGTGCTCGGCGCCGCCGACTGGCCGTCGAGGTACGGAATCTGGTAGAACTTCATGTAGTTCTCATACGCCATTAGCTCCTCCGACAGCTTCTGTAACTCGTTTATCTCTTCCTCTCCAACTAAATTAACAACCTTTTCTTCTTTCCTCGGCTCTTCCTCTTTCACTCTGGTTTGAGCCGTACCGAAACAGTTTGTGTTGGAGTTCGGAAAAGTTTGTTCAATCTGGTTCAGATCGTAACCAAGCCCAAACTCCTGAGTGTTGTGGGGTTGATACAGGGGACGGGTTTGGTTGCGGTGAGCTTGTTGGACTTGGACGGCACCGTAAGTGTCGTTGGTGTCCTCGTTGGGGAAGTTAACCTTGGCTTTCTTTCCTCGGATTTTCCGAGCTTCCCTGTCGTAGGCTCTGGCGGCTTCCTCCGCGGTGTTGAAGGTTCCGAGCCAAACACGAACCCCTTTTCTCGGGTCGCGAATCTCCGCCGCCCATTTCCCCCACGGACGCTGCCTTATCCCTCTGTACAGGTTCTTTCTCACCCTCTTTACCGGCTTTTCAGATTGCTCACCCTCTGTATGTCAAAATAACCGACTCAGAAAAAAGAAAACAACAAAGTACAAGAAAGAAACTTTAGAACAGAGCATTTACGAAAAGGGAAAGAAAACAATACCTGACGAGGGTACGGATCGTTTAAGAGGGACATGATTTTCGACTTCGTGATTGATCAGGTGGCAGAAATTGGACTCGAACGAGTTGTGACTCAGCTTGGCGAAGGGTGAGCTGGGCCATATATCGGATGAGTTAACTCGGCGGCCTCGATTACGAGGGATTAAGCCAGCGATTACAGCACCGCCACACATTTCTTAAAAATAAATAAAAACTTTTGAGGAAACTTAAAAAAGTGTTTGGTTAAGATATTTTGGTCTGGGTTCGTAGAAATTAAGGTCGATAAGCAAAAAATGCGATGTGGAAACTTGAAGAAGGTTTTCAAGGATGGGGAATGGGTTTGAGAGAGAGAGAGAGAGAGAGAGATATTAAGAGGGTTTTTGTAGTAGTAGGAGGAGTTGGGTCTTGTAGAAATTGTTCAGATTATTTGGAAGTTTCTTGGGATTTACCTGTAATTTATTAGTTGGTGTCTGGATTTATATCAACATATCTTAAGCGGTCTTGCGTGACAGGTAAAGACAGGGGAAATGGTAAGGATCAGGATGAATTCACGGGGGTTTACATCACAATTACTTTTATGACCTTTCCCACAGTGAAGTGCCAGCTTTTATTTCTCATGTCTATCTAACATGTAACGCGTTTCCTTTTTTCAAATTTACTACCTTCTCTCTTTTTAAAACGACAGAATTATATAAATGAGAATTAAAGATTTTATTTTGAACTATCAAATTTGTATAACATCATATACACATATGGTTTTTTATTTTTTTATTTTGATATAATTTTAATTAGATTAACATTTAGGAATACTCTTTATTTGATAATGATACCCTTACCCCTTAGAAAGAACTTTACATAAGTTGTTAAAAATTCTATGGTAAAACATTATGAATGCAGGGTGAAATTTCATAAATTTTGTAAGTTAACATGTATTCTTTTTTTAATAAATCATATTTCATGGTATATTGTTTGATTAGCTTTTCATAATGTGAATAAAAAACTAACGATAATTATTTTATCTAATGATATATGTAATATATATATATATATATCATTATTGTGTTTATTCTAGTAATGTTTTTAAACAAAAATTTAACGCAACTAAATTAAATGCAATGAATATCTGGTGAGATTTACATGTTAAAGTATAAACATTATTGTTGGCCCACCTCCTAATAGCTTAAGCTTTTGGAATGAATTGGTAAATTAACATGGTATCAGAGCGAGAGGTCCTGAGTTCAAACCTTCGTAATTGCACTATTTATCCCCATTTTAAAATTATCATCGCGTGTTGGGTTTTTAATATATTTCGGACTTAAATATTCACGTATTGGGCTTTTCAATTAATTTACTTACACGATTGCCCATGAGGGAGAATGTTAAAATATAAAAACTATTGTTGGCTCACCTCTTAATAGCTTAAGCTTGATTGGTAAGCTAACATTACATGAGCAGACGATGGTAGATGCGCTCTTTCTTAAATTGTCATTAATAAATATTAGCTAATATTATATAAAATTATCCACAAAGGTTTGGCCGTGTTTGTAATTTCTCGCCTGAAAGAGCATTATAATTTATCCTTGTAAGCGAATTTGGATATTTACTACGCTAATTAATTAAGCAAAGTGTTTGGCAGACGCCAGAAGGACAGGAAAGCACATAGATGTGCTTTGTTAAATACAATATATTGTTGCAAGTGGAACAAAAAAAAAAAGGGACAAGAGCATCATTAGTAAATTGAATTTTGGGTACAACAAACTTCTATAGACCAAAAAGAGTTATAGTAGACTTTATTTTATTTGATGCCGTCAAAAAGAGTTCTACAAAAATCATAATATAAGTTGCGAATTCTTGCGTAATTTACACTAAATTTATGTAGTGTTAATCTCATCTCTTTTAATAGTTCCAATCACATTCTATGATTTTTGTACGGGAAAAAGACTGCTTTAGTCCATACACCGAAAGGGATTGATAAGTTAACTTGATCAATTTACTAATTACATTAATTATGGGCAAGAAGTTTTCAAAATGAGCGGCTAACTCTGACAGATTATTATTATTATTATTATTATTATTATTATTGTTTAAGTCAGTCAAAACATTTCATATGGAATTTAATAATTAGAAGGCTTCTTGGCCTCTTAACTGGCTTGTGAATTTGTTTGAAAGAGGTTGATTAGCAGTAATTTAAAGCAAAAGTTTGATCGATATACATGATAGAAATAATAAAAAAAAAAGCATCTAATATCATTTTAAAAAATTGAACCAGTTTTAATTTGTCACTACAAGTGGACGAAAAAAACCGCTAAGCACACCGCATATATGATTCCAAATCGTGGGCATAATAATATATGTTTATAGCCTAAATGTAACAATGGAGAATGTCAAAGAATAGTTATTTATTTGAACATAAAAAAGTTACTAATGTTCGACCAATCTACATTTTCAAACACTATAGCTTTTTTTATGGTAAAAAAATAACGAGAGATGTATACTTATCTTTAGACAGTCAGCAAAGACAACATACATTTTTTTATAGCCTAATTTTGGCGACACATACCCCCAAAAAAACAAAGAAAAAATGGCTGCAGTTGCCTTTAATATTTTTGCTTTATTTTATGCATGCATGGGTTCTTTCTACGTTAAGGCTTTTTACTAGTAATATAAGTTTCGGATCATTAAGTATGAGTAAAATCACATTAAAATGAAATAGTACATAAAACAAATAATTTTTAATATAAATTTAACAGTTTAAAACAGAGACTTATCAATAATTTATTTTTTCAAGTTCTGTCATAAAAATTTTTAATACAAATATAACAATTTAAAACAAAGACTTATCAATAATTTATTTTTTTAAGTCCTACTAAAGAAAATCTCCTTAACTCTCTAACTCTGGCCACTTTAATATACACATGTCACATATTCAACTTTGCGGGATCTACAATTATTGTTTATGTGCTCCTTGACCCTATTCCAGCTTCGCGGAAGATCAATAAACTCCTGTGCATATATATATATATATATTTAAGACAAGCTCGTTATAATACTTTTCTGTTAAGAATAAACAATATTCTTTTGTAAAAGAAAGAAAAATACTATTAACACATGTTCGTCTTTATTTATTTTTTTTTGTTTTTTTGTTTTGGTTTTGTTTTGTTTTGTTTTTGTTTTTGTTTTTTGGTTTTTTTTTTTGGTTTTGTTTTGTTTTTTTTGTTTTTTTTCATTCTCTTCACACTTTTGAGAACTGATGCAATATACATATCAATGCCGAAAGCACAGCCTGTAGATTTGCATATCAGATTACAGGAATTGAAGTAACAAAATCTGAAAATCAAGTCGGCCCTGCCACGCAGGTTTTTATTTATTATTATTATTATTATTTTTTGTTTGCATTTGTTTTCCCACGTGCCACCAAATAACACTTGATTGTTTCCTAGTTTCTTAAAATTAAAACATAATTAAAAAGAAATTTTGTAACATAATTAATATTGCGCTGGCATTCTCAATAATATAAGTCCTAAAGACGTGTTAATTATCTGAACTTCATAACTGATGCATACAATTATTACTTAACAATTGTAATGGCTCGCTCCCCCGCCTCTCTTTGCTTCTCTTGTTGTCGTTTAAGCTGGTCATTTCTTCTGCTAATTACTATGATTATCAATCAATCCGATACCCGAGTGTTGGGAATTATCAGAAGCTAATTAACGTCTCTTAATCATGATCATAACCAGCAATATTATGATGATCATCACGTCCATCACGATGATCAACAGAAGCTGCTTATGATCAGGTACATCGTGAGGAAGCAGTACAAATTCCCACCAACAAGTTCATTGCTAATTCAAGGGCTTATTCTTTGCGACTCAGGCCAAAAATATGTCCCACTTGAAGGTATAAATTAACAGACAGTAATACTTATCAATATTTTTCTTAAAGAAAATTGCAAAACAAAATTGTCACAGTTTTGTGCATCTCTAAATTCTTGCATGTGCGTAAAATGTCGTCGTCCCAAATATATGAATCAGCACTCAACAGGCCGTTTCATTTGAGTCTTTGACGAATCACGTACGACAGCAAAATATAACAAACAACCTGTGGTTTGAATAAAAAGAACGTTTCAAATGGAAAACGCGTGACAACAAAAATTTACGCTTAAAAACAATTTTGTTTTTGTCATAGACGAAGCAATCTGTTATCATCAAAGGATATGGCGTTTTACGTGCAAAGGAAAGCAGTGTGTTGTTTAGTACAATCAATCGTCGTTTTTATCTTCTAAACGACAAAAAGTTGTCTTTTATATTGCAACGACCAAAAATATAAACGACCCCCCCGTAAACGACGACCAAATTAGAACTACAAACCATACGTCATTTTAGTGACGACGTCTCGTTTTTGTGGTAGACTAGGGCAATTACCATTTTTCTCGGAGAAACTGTTACTACCACCGATGGATGACGGAATATTCGCGTGAAAACAACATTCATTTAACGACTTGTTACCTTTTTTTTGGCAGGGCTTGAGATTCATTGGAACAATAAAAAAGCGGAACTGTACTCGTGGGTTTCTGATTCAAGTTGTCTGTTGTTACTTAAAATTTATCGTTTATTGAGAGGTTGTCTTAGCTTGGCAGTTCGTTGTTGTTTCTATGCTTTTTGTCGTGTTAAGGGTATAGTCGTTTATATGTTGTTGTTTTGCAAGTTGATATCGTTTTTTTCTCTTTATGGTTATTGCAGTTTATAGTCTTTTTGTCGTTTCTCAAGTTTGTGTAGTTTACTAGATTGTTGTCGTTTTTAAAGATGATGTTAGTCTTGCATTTCATTGTGGTTTTATATTTTTGTCGTTTTATGTTATTGGTGTTTATTGCGTTGCATTCTAATCCCTATAACTGCAATTTCATAACTTAACTTGTTAGTGCGGGCCTGCTATCTATTTCGAGAGTCCACATCCGTTGGCCCCATTTTCCTGTTTCGGCGGTTGTTTTTTTTTACTAATTATTTACTATGCTATTTAAATATAGAAATCTTTATCACATGAATCAAATACTAAAAATATTTAAATAAATTCACGATGTGTCAAAATGTAACTGGAGAGATAGTCACCAAAATAGGAAAATAGGACAACATATTTTGATTAATATTTTTGTAGGCTCATATTTGACATTTGTATTCAAGAAAAAAAAAAAAAAATATATATATATATATAACCATTATTGTTTGCTATCTTTACATATATACCACTCAAAATATAAGTTCGTGCCACTTAAAATAACTTTTTTACTGATTTAATAAAAGACATGTTCTTACTACCTCACTTCGATGATATAAGAGTCCGTTTAGTTTGCTGATTCGAGTTTTAATTCAAGTTGAGATATAACTTTATGTGAGAGTTTTTTACTGTAGCCAAAAAGTTAGATGTGACTGTTTGTGAGAGTTTTTTACTGTAACAAAACTCAAATTCTAAACTCGAATCAGCA